AGCCGGTGTAGGTGAGCTCTGGGGGTGCAGGGGCCCTGGGGGCACAGGCCGAGTGCTGATGGAGGAGCCCTGTGCAGGTGGTGAGTGATGCACAGGGGCCCTGCAGCCGGTGTGGGTGAGCTCTGAGGGTCTGGCAGCCACTGTGGGTGAGCTCTGGGGGTTCCCTGATGCCCTGTGCCGCTGTGGGTGAGCTCTGGGGGTGCACAGAGGCACTGAGGGCACAGGCCGGGTGCTGATGATGGAGCCCTGTGCAGGTGGTGAGCGACACACGGCGCCTCTCAGACGTGGAGTGGTTCCGGGCCGCCTACGGGGATGTGGTGCAGACCGTGAGGGTGGTGGCTACTGAGGAGACGAGGAAGAGGAGGAACTGGGTGTTTGTCACTGGTGAGCGAGTGCCTGGTGTGACACCGAACCTGGGGCTGCTGCCTCCACTGCCCTTCCTTGGGAGCAGGAGGCTGGGGATCAAGGCCCCCACCTCTGGGGGTGAGGCCGTGCTGGGGGTGCAGACAGACACATCCTGACCATCCCTGGGGCCTCCCTGGGCTCTGTGCTACCAGGGGTGGACGACGCCGAATCTGAGTGCGGCCTGGACCAGGGAGTGGCCTTTGACTGGGTGATCACCAATGACGGGGATGAGGTGGCCCTGGGCGAGCAGCTGGGGGAGCTGGTGCAGTCTGTCCACAGCAGCCTATAGCTCCGTGTCTCTCCACTGGGGCTTGGGGGCTGCATCAGCCCCCCAGCCCCTCATCTCCACCTCCTGCTGTTTCCTGTTCTGGAATAAAGCTCTGACACTGAGAACCACTGCCACACTGGGCCTGTGTCTCATTTCTGGGGAAGGGGCACACAGATGATCCTGCCCCACGGTCACCATGGGTTTCCCAGCTTTCAGGGGTCAGAACTTCTGTCCTGCAGTTCTGTCCAAGCCAGGGTCACCAGCTGGATGTTCCGTGGTGTCTTTTAATAAGGTTTCTAGCAGCCAATTCCCTACAGATTATCTGCTTCCCAAACTCCTACACTCACATCTGCTCCTCTCCTGCAACAGCTGGGCACTGCAGGGGCTGGGGGTGCCTGGGTGGGCTGGGGGTTTTGAGGGGGGATTAGGGCCCTAAATAGATCTGTGTGTATATATCCCATACTCTGGCTCTACCCCAACCTTGGGGACACCGTGTGACACACACACACCGTGCCCCCCGTCCATGGGTGACCCACCCCGGGATGGGAACACCTGCTCCGGCTGCTGCTGGTAATCCCCGGCCTCTAAACGGATTAAAAGGGATCATATCAAAGGAGGGGGGATGCCCGGGGGGGAACCCAATGGGTTAAACAGATTTGGGGTCGTTCGGGACGCGTCCATCGGTGCAGCCCGGTGCACTACAAGTCCCGAACGACCCCGCAGAGAT